CCCTGTAAATGTTTAATCTCAAGCTGAACATGTACTGGTTAATAAACAGCACAAGGAAGGCCGAAAAATTTGAAGAAATAAGTGACACAAAGTGAAAGAAAGTTTAATAGTCCATGAAATCTGTGGATTTAAACAGGTTTCTACAGCAATCAGAGAAACAGGAAAGGACAATCTTATCACATTCATCTAGTCCCAAAGGCCGAAGCAGATGTATCCATCAGGCCATAATTTCTGACCATAAAACTCTGCTTGAATAAAATCTTGCATGTGACCTTCATACATATTGCTGCTGTACAAAACTCTGGTACTCTACAGCTGAATCCCATTTAGTTATGACTCACTGCCTTATTTACTTCACTGATCACAATAAGCTTTCAAAAGCCATTACGAAGGCTTGAGTTGGTGTCTAAGCGTACTCTGGTGACTAACCTGAATGACAAAAAGGTTGGTTTAAAAGATTAAAAGCCACATATATATGATTTCAATAGGAAAACTTGTCAAACAAAGCGGATTTCAAATAGCATCAGTCAAATCTATTTGTCATGCGTTATAGGTAGCCTATAGAGGAAAACATTGTATTACTATACAGATATTATTTCAGATAGGTAAAATGTGATATTGTCAAAATAGGAGGTAGGAGAAAGGAGCAGGATAAAAAATACTAGTACCAAATAAAACCACAATGTTTGCCATGAGGTTTCAAATATTGGCAACGGATCTCCAAGGACCTCGCACATCTTTGGGCGTGGGTCCTACCAAGCTCCAACAGCCCTCCAGATGCTGCGGATGCCTCAAGCACTGCAAACACCAGCAGAGTTTGCACTGTAACTCTAAGTGTGCAAGTGGAAATGGCAGCATGGGGGCTGTAGAAACTGTGCTGCCTAAGGAGGCAGATCAGCACAAGCCAAAGTGTTACCACTATTTGAAGTTACCCAAGCCCCTGCTCCCTCCACTTGCCTTGGAATAGGAATTACCTCAGGCAATAATACGTGCATCGGTGGAAAGAACCTTGACCCGGTATAAGTAAATCAGTATTGCAAGAATATGACTGTGGAAAATGCTTAGAAAACAAGGAGGGTTTAGAGAATCACTAGCAGTGGATCAAAACAGATATTTCGTAGCCTGCCTACCAAGGTAACTTAGCAGACAATCCCACAAAAATGCACAGGCTACTACTGCACATTTCACATTAGCCATTCAGCAACAGTGTGATCATATTATTAATGAGAAATTAAGGATTGGAGGATAGCAGTCTTTGAACCATAAAATTCAGCCTCTAATTATTAGTGTATTGAAGTAAGCTCAAGAATAATAAAAGTAAGACAAAGATAAGAGAACACAATGATTTTATGACAAATAAGAGAGAAGTGACATATTTATTTCAGCCAAATTTCCCAGTGAAAGGAAAAAAACCCAGTCCACTACAAAGAAATACAGAAACATGACTGTTCAAAATAATTACAGTTTAAGTATATTGTAGAACTGAAAACCTTTTGAAGGCCTATCCCACCCCTATTTAAATACTGCTGTGAATTGAAGCCTCATAAGAAAGGAAGTAAATTTTATGCTAATATATATTATTATTGCCATGAGTATGAATCTGGCATTATATTTCCTTGTTTCGTGGTGCTAAAATAGTGACTTGCTACCATGCAAAAACTGACTATCCTTACCTTTCTTCATTGTCTATACAAATTCTTTTCTTAGCTTTGTAGCACCCGACATGAGAACAGCATAAAAAAGCCAGGCAGAATATTCTTCCTTTCCCACTCACATAAGCAAACAAATATTTCAAGACGTAACATAAAAGAGTATTATAACTACTGTGAGGTATTTTATTTTGAAGAAAGAAAGGAAAAGAGGAAGGAATAGGCTGTGCTGGACATTTCCACAAGTGCATGTCACTGTGACACGTCTCAGCAACCAGGCTGCAACCACCATGAAGGCCTAGTATGCACCATCTATGTGCCTCAGCCACCCTTCTCAGCCACTCTCCTGCTCTACAAACTCTCCCCTCTGCCCATCAGGCCAGAGCTACGCACACCTGGCCACGCACCTCACTGGTCCCCACCCTGACCTACCAGCTGGGCTTGCCCTGGACTGGCCCCCCACCTTGCAGGGTAACCCCAACCTCACTCCATCCTGATGGGTGCTTGTGCCACCCCATGACGCTGACATGCAAACGTGAGTCATACAGTAAACCACATGCACCACACTCGCTGTTGGCCCTCTCTGACAGATCATACAGTGAAGGGGAGAAAAATTTCCCTATCTTAAAGAAACCAAATTTCACCTCCTATTTCCGTGCACTAGAAAATGCCTATAAATTATCCCTGAGGGCACTTCCAGTGATATTATGGGGCATGTCATTCACAGCTCTTCTAGGATAAAACCACTCATCTTTGCAATACAATCTCATCGCTCCAATCAGAACTGTTAATGAGATGCCCTAAGGTACAAACAGAAGACATTTCAGGGCACCATAAGCATTTATAAAAGCAGATTCAGAGGGAAGAATAGTAAGTACCGCATAGCAGCCAATCCTCTCATATTAATTATCTTTACATTCCAAAATCAATATTAAGTATCTGAGTGTTCCTATATACATTGTTCAGGAGTTAATTGTTAATTTTGCTAATATAACAAAATAAAAGGTAGAAATAATACATGCTGTCCATTAGCAGATTATCATAGAAAAAAGTTTAAATATCTCCTCTGTACACAATGTCCTGTTTTATCAGATTTTTGCTCATGACTTCTTGTTTTTTGGAAATTCAAAATCCTGGGCAAGTTCTTAAAGAACTTTCTCTATGCACTAAAAGGGGCATATTTTTTACAAATTTAGACCAATTTTAAGTTATTATTATGGCTCTAATGCTTTAAATTAACATTTTACCAAACATTAAAAGCTCTATATTTTAAAGATTGCTCTGTAGAGTTTAGACAAAATGAAAAAAAAGTCAGAACCATAAAAACCCCCAGATACTGTGAGCTAAACCAAAGCAAACTTGAGGCAGTTTATGTCCTAAATACAATAAATAAATAGTATAATAATAAATAAACAGTGTAATTTTTGCACATTAGCTTCTATCTCATAGCAGAGGCCATGATACCTCAGACTCATGTCAGTAGTGTTATGCTTCCAAGGAAAGGGTCACACTGGCATGGAAATGCCAAGCTTGGGCATACTGAATGCCATACCCATTTAAAACCATGAGATTTTGCCTCATTCTAGTTTGTGGGGTTTTTTTTGCAAACAGTATACAGAAATAGCCTGAGTGTCCAAACGATCTTTTTCTTGTGTTTAGTACAGTGCATTTTGGCTAAGTGTTTTTCCAAGGGATAAACCATGAAGTGGCAATAGTTACAGAGGTTTTCTTCCCTACTATTAACACTTGTAAGAAACCCATTTAAGAAAAGGGGACAAGTGATATAAAGATGTGGAGAAAAGGATAAAGGGAGAAAATTGGTGCAAAGTAGTTGAAACGTTACAGTGCAGCTTATGCCTCTATTCAGTTAAAACAAATTAAAAGAAAACACATTAACTGTTGTAAAATAGCTCAACAAGCAAAATTTGACAGATATATGCATACAAAAGATGCAGCCTATGTTCTTTGCTCAAATGATGCCAAACAAAACACAGAGTACTTAAAAGTGAGTATGAGGCTTTGGTAGGCATGTAGCTGTATGTGACCATGCATTTACAAGAAACAGTTTTTAGTGGAAAATACTTTCCTAAACTCAGCAACAGACCTTTCCCCCCCTGAACACATGGTAATAAAATTTATGTCAAATCTACTCCATTCATATTTCAAATGTTGACTATACCAAGATATTTTCAAAAACAACAAACTAACTTTTGCAGAAGTAATTGAGTATTGAAAGATTCGTCATTAACTCCTTTGGAACGTTCTACTTTACTAGACACTCCTATGTTCTTTAAATTAGAAAAAAATAACAAAAAAAAAATCCTAAATTCTCAAAAATTGACAGCATCATTGATAAAAAACTGCATATAAGCATTAAAGACCTTTTCATTTACATTATCTTGTCAACAGTCCATCGAAGCCAAATAGGTATTGACCTTTGACTTCACAAGTATCGAGCAACTGTTTGCAAGCTTGCTGCTCAAATCTCAAGTTCTACCTGAAGTGCCAATACAGAGCCAATAAGGATATAGAAAGTCATCAAAATTTTGTTTTCTTGTTAAGAAAAGTTTAATAATTTACCCACAATAAACATCATCTGCATCTCAGGCAGAAGTTAGTGTTCTAGAACAGCAAGGAAATAATCACTGCTTAGGAAACCAATTTGAATCCATATTTCTAAAGACTTTATATAGCTGTCTTTCCAGACAACTGCTCAGTCACACCAGTGATTTACTAATCCAGCTCAAAGGGATTTCAAATATTGAGTCCTGTTATCATCCTACCACTATCACAGGAGCCCAAAGCAACATCCTCATCTCTTGTCCAATAATTGAGCATTGACAAAGAATGAACTGAGCACAAAATCATATTGGACACAGGTGTCTGTCTGAGTCATCAGGTTATCTCTAATCCCTCCTATGAAATAGGTAACTTTTCCAGGTGTATGTGCTGAAAAGGTTATCTACACAACAACCTAAGTTTTCCAACTAAGCGCTGTTAGTTACACGAAATGAAACTGAAAACTCATATTGAGGAATCGTAACATAAAGACTATTGGTTTGACGATAACTTCAAAACAGCCTGCAAAAGACCTATCTGTACGCAAACTTTTCCACCATTTTTCAAAAACCTTTACTTAAAAAATGGATAAAAGCTAAGTTTATAACTCGAAGTCACTAGAGCAACACAAATCATAGCACCTAAATCCAAAATTAAATGCAATATTTGATATTCTATGTAAAAAGCAGCCAAGAAAAATTATGAATTTCTCATAAAGCTAGGAAGCTATCAGAGTAGTATTTCGCACATCTCTACAGAAACAACAGCAGGAAGTCTGTTTAGATGTCCTACCTTCTTGAACCGCCTGAAACGGATTGTTGCCATCTACAAATGTCACTGAACATGTGATTTTTTCTGTTTGTAAGATTTCATCATTCTGGTTGAGATCAGCAACCGCCATTCGAAAAACTTCCTCATCTTTTTTGGCAGATTCATCAAAAATTGCCCCTGGAGGAAAACAAAACAAAATTATCATGTTGTACCTTTCACCGGCAGTATCCCAAACCATTAATCATAAGCACTTCAGACATGCTTTATGCTATAACATCATCCACTTTCTCACTCCTGAAGAGCAGTTCTCTTCAACACAGAGCTCAGAAGCTACTTCACAATATATGAAATTTCTGTATTTTGACATAAATTTAAGATACAAATTGAAGAGAAGTATTGATTCCAGCTAGAAATATTGGGGAAATCTAGTTCAATACAAAGCAAATTATCTGTATAGGAACATGGCCACAAAATGTGAACTAATTACTTTTCCAAAGGTGCCATTTAATACATTGAATGACCACAATGGTCTAGGATATACATTTAATGTCATGTCTAGTGACAATTAAAAAAATATAAAGTTCAAATGAGGTGAGAATAAACTTTAACTAACTAGCATAAGTAAGATGAGTTAGGATTGACAGCCATGATCACTAAACAGGTCAGCAAATGATCTAAACTGTTTCAGGTCTAACTCCTGCGGGATTTGTAAAACAACCATTCCAGCTAACTGTCTGACTGTTGAAGTCAGTAAATTAAGCTTAAGCAGTTAATTAAAATAATTTCTGCATTTATAACTCTGATAGAAAGTCTTCTGCCTTTTTCTCCAAAACACTCGAGCAGAACATCGTAAACAGGAAACCATTAAACTCAGGAGGAGTTGGCAGAGTGAGGGCATCCAATCCTTGCACAGCCAGTTCTCCAGGTGTACTGAAGAACTCCATGGCTAATCCAGAGGTTTTAGCTTTGGGATTTTTTTTGCTTTCTTTAAACTACAATGTCACTTTTAGCATCACTAATTTCCTATTATTTTACATTTGCTTCTTGTATGAACTATTTACGCAGAGAAGGCTGAAATCACACTGTTATAGTCCTGTGAAGAATGCTATATTGTTTAAAACCCTCAAATCAGAGCTGTTAGATGCTGAAGCACCTCTAAATCTTTCATTTCCAGGCAGTAGATTAAAGAGACAGAAGGGATACTTCAAAAACAGATTACTGAGAACTGTTTAATCATTATGAATTTTCTTCAGTTTTCAGGTTTATTTATTCTTGAGCGTCTTATCAGTACAATACTCAACTAAGGCAGCATATGTGGTGAGGTAGCCAAAGACAATAGAAAATGCTGATCACTAGTGATTTCAGGTAAATACCTGCAATCAGTTCTGAAAAGAACTGAAAAAGATTCATTTACAGGAAATTGCTACTTTAAGAGAAGTAAACTTCATACATAGTGTTTATCATATTTTCCCACTGACCTCCAGTGCTCATCTTCCTGCCAGCATCACTCATACTACATGAGCGTCATCTCTTCCTACAATGTGACCGCTTTGACTCTAGCATTTTCCCTCCTGAAGCTGCTGCCGTCTGGAACAGCTGTTCTTTACCTCTACAACTCATTCACCTGTCATGTCTGTGCAAATCTCAGCTGAAAACAATCATTTTCTCCTTTGCCCCCATTTCCATTTCCCTTGCTTTATTTAGCTTCATAAAGCAAAGCTGCACATGGCTGAGAATACACTTGGTGTGCAAGATGCTGCAATCCATGCCTTCTCTACAAAGACAACTGTTTGTAGCATTTAAGGGTACAAAAAATTTAGTTCAATGGCGTACCTTAAAACATACTTATTTAAACTCATGGAACAGTTCAAACCAAAATCACACATGCTTCACTTTGGGAGTACACCTATACTGATGATGACTACACAGCCCAGCAAACATTGATAACAAACATACAAAGGAACAATTTTACATGGTTACCAAGTAACAAGGTTCAAATTAAGAAGGAAAAAAGAAAGCTGGAAAACAATGATAGTAATTTGTCAAATTCTATCCCTGTAGAGTAATTCTGTAACAAATGCCACACTGGAAGTGAACATGCACAGGTTTCAAGCACGCACACACACAGAGGGCAGCTGTTGACTGTTTTGCAGAACAGCATGGCAAAACAACGACCTTCCAGCCAACACAGCTTCTTATTCTACTGCTAGAAAATATCACCTTAAGCCTGGCTTTATCCCCCAAATAATTCAGGTCATTTACTGAGCAGAGAATACAGAAAAGTCTAAGTTATCTAGAGTTTCTTTCTCATGTGCTATCACAAAAATCCCCTTCAGCCCCATAACCCTTCCACTGGGCAGCAGACAACTGCTCCCAAGACACTGCCTTCACCAGTGCAGCATCAAGTTTCTCAACAGATGAACCTACTTGAGAATCTTTCTTGTTTCTTTCACACAGAGGTATGCCTAACAAACTCCTGTGCTTTTTCTCCCATTTCTCAGCCTGACACAAATTCTAGCTTTGACAGCATCTGGATGTACATGGAACCAGAGTAGATGAAACTTCATGCAGCCTTCACAAACGACACTCCTTCTTGCTGTAGTACAATCGCTCCAGTTTTGCTCTGACCACTGCTTGTTTCATTTACAGCTCCACGTATCGGATGCAAATTTCAAAATTTCCCCTCTAACCTATACTACATTGGACATTTTAAACAAAATACCTCACAGAAATGAGACAAGTGTAGGAGTATCTCCACAGGCAAAAAAAAAAATAAATATATATAGCTGAACTGCAAATAAAGTTGTAAGAATAGTTTCTGCCTGAGCATCCTAATAGGAATTAGATTGTCTTCCTTCAAAAACTAAGACTGTCATCAGAGTGTCTAACTTAGCTACACTAAACATCTTTTCATATATAATAAAGATGACACTGCTCCTTTCAGGTGATGGCAGTGCACAGCAGCATGTGCATTACACTTCGAACAGTGGTAAGAGAAATTTTATTTCATAACTCGTTCTCAAAGTTTAATTTCAGTTGTTAAATTGGAAAACTTAAAAAAAAAAAACCACCAAAAAAACCCAGAATAATTTCAAAATTGTTCTTATTTTGGATATACATTTTTAGGTCCCTGTGTATTATTTCAACTATATTCCAGGTGTCTGTATATCTCTCTACATTATACAAGTGTGGGAGGTTATTATAATTTTTTTTTTTTTTTAAAAGAAAAGCCTTTTTAATGAAAAGGTAAAAGGCATTTTTTGGATTGTGCTAACATTACTGGAATATTTTCCTTTTCGTGCAGTTTCAGGAAACATCCTCTGGTTGACAGGAGTGATTTTTCTGACATGAAACAAGTCTATTGAAATTTTTACAGCTAGCCGGAAATGCAGCCTTTAACCGCTTTCATATTAGTATGATTTTTTTAACTTGCTGAGGCCTGAAATCACACTGAAGTTTTGATGTTTATTCTTTCAAACACAGTCTTTTAACCAAGTCAAACAAACAACCCAAATGAACAAATAAAGGGTATTACACTTTAAAATTACTTCTGTAGTAAGAGCTACATGCTTTCTCATTTCCTCACATACAACTGCAAAATGAGAAAACTGGAATGACCGCAAACTTCTTTGGAGTACATGTCCAAAATGAACCCTTTCGGCTATAAGAAAAATTGTTACAGAAAGTAATGAAAACTTGAGTACTAAAAGCAAATTTTTCTGACAGATTTTTTCTGTAATTTTTCTGTAAGATTCTCAATTTTCAGAAAATGATGCAACTAAACTATTTACACAGTGAAAAAGTCTTCAAAATTATAGAAAAGTAGATGCTGCTCTTTTCTCTTCCACTCCCACTTGTCGCCTCAGCTGAAACAGGCCTCACACTAAACATGTCTTTTCTACCTATACTCCAGGAGTATTCCCATGATTGCACCAAGAACTGACATGCTGACACAGCAATTACTTTGCACCAGTTCTCTGACCCTACCCCCCAATTTTATTAGCATGTCATTACTTTCAGCTTTATTTCAGAATATGGATGAGGACAGCACAAATGTAATTCTCTACTGGCTTTTTAAAAACCCTCAGCGCATCAATAATGTCCTGTAGCTTAGCAGAGAGTTCTTAGTGTTTAACTAACTCATTTGATCATGTCACCAGAAATCTGCCAATTTAAATGAATGTAGACCAAATCATACAAGTGGTCAATAAGTTCATCAAGTACCAATGACATCATTAGAAAGGCTTTTCAAAGATCATTTGTCCTACTCACCCATACACATAAAAATATATTCCATATTAGATATTATCAGCTATTTCTGTAGTAATTTGTGCAGTATACTGGAATCAGTCCAGAAAACATAAGAATGAGAGAGAAATGCATCACGACAGCAAGGATAAAATGTGAAGAGATTTAAACCAATGTTCATCTTTCTATTGACTAAGAAAGGACAAAATCCACTGCTTGCAGTGTTTTCAAGTATTATTATCTATTAAAGTATGACATTTCTGGACCTCAGTGTCCCGTATTAATCCCAGGAAATTAAGTACCTTGTTTCAAAGAGGAGGGGGAGTACAAGGATTAAATGCCATTGTGAAATGAGGTCACAGTCCAATTTCAGCATATAAGACTGATTTTCACTTTATAACGTTGCACACGTCTCAACAATAGAGGCAATACACACTTTGCCCAATAATTCACTAGTTCACAAGTCCAAGAATGTTTGGAGAGAAGAGGAGAGAGGGGAAATGTAAAACAGTAAATTTTGAACAACTGCCTAATGTTCTCACAGCAGATGCTGAATCTATAAAAATTCTTTGTCCCACCAAATACCAGTCTTTTCCAGTGTCTGAATCCAATTCCACTGTATTTTCTCAACTGCTATTATGTTATTATTCTGAACGAGAAACTTAACGCAGCTGCTAGGAAGAAGGATGGTCACACTGTTCGCACTCAGAACTGGAAGCTGGGCAGTTTGAGTCCTTATGGCAAACCTCATCTGAGATGTCCTGCAGTGCTATGAGCATATTGAAACAAGTCTAGCTCCCCCATAAGAAATTAGGAGACATTAATTTCTTGGGGCTTAAATCAATGAGACTGATATTTGAGATCATGAGATACATTGCAGAACAAAATCCCATGTTATATCTAGGTCATATGAGTGTCTGGTTGGGAAT